AATGCGGCATACGGTAGCGGCTGACACATTGCCCACCCGTACAAGTTATTTATATCATAGTACATGAGATACGACGTTGGTTTTGATGAGTCGTAAGTCTGCATGTACTTGTTATTAGCGTGCGCGTATCTTGTGCTGCACTGACTAAGACCACAGCGTATACCGCGTTCGATAAACATTACCATATCAACATCTGTAAGTAAGTCAAACGTTATACCTGTGTGTTTCAGCATAGCGTCCCACGTATAACCGGGTAAAGTATAATAATGCGCGTGATCTAATCCGTAACTTCGAATACAACTTTCTCGAAAATTTTCAAATATATCAGCCAATAATAAAACATCAGTCTTTAAATATAAATCACTGTATTCGCCTAACATATGAATAGAAAATCGTTGCCAGATGTCTACATCGTGTGCATATTCACTCTCAGATATTGTTTCACCGGTCAGAGAACTGTAAAATGACTCGCGCGGTGGTAAATGATGCTCCTGCAACTTGTCGACACAGTCTACGTATTCGTATGGAAAAACCCCTTTACGCGTTAATAACTTAAAGTTTTCGACGGATAAATTTCTAAATTCTGATTGTAAAATTTGTACCTTGTCTTTATGAAGATATGACGCCAGTTTATCGAGACTAGTACTGAGAAATTTGTACGACTCGATGAATCGCAACTCTATATTGTGATCCTTTNGATTGTGTTTTTCCGATTGCGCCACGTTCTTGGAAAAGGATATATATCTCTCCTTGTTAATAGGGAGAACAGTAACTTTTCCTTCGAACGCAGTTGCAACCTCTTTAATAATAAAGTGTGCATCGTATCCGGATAAATGATGAAAAGTTACTGGGATACAGTGTGAAGTTTTATAATTTAAGTTGCAGTTGGAGTGCGCGGGACCTCTGTATTTACCACTCACATGACAATGATCGCGAACTTTTATGTCGTCTGCCGCAAATAATTTTTCGCACACGTGACAGTGACTCGCGTTACGATAAGCTGACCTTTGTTCTTCCGTTAACGTTTCCATGGGCACATTGGTAGATAAAATAGTTTTTACTCGATTAGCCAATTCTTTGAGTTCGTCGACAAACCATGCGATGCAATCTTCGCCGCGACGATACCGATAAGCAGAGAAGGAATCGTTGTATGAGCAGCGGACATAATATCCTATGCTGAACGCCTTGTGATGTTGATACGCATAGGATGTTTGCTGCTGCGTCTCTCCATCAGTCTTGTGTAATATGCTCTCAAGGTCAGCGTATACTACGAACGGGAGACGTTCTTTTTTGCTGTGGTTGCTAAAACTGAGCCACTTGTTCTCTTCTGTTGGTAACCGGATCGCGCAGTTGTTCATTTTTCCACAATCTACGGTGTGGACATTCAACTTGTCCAGAGAATGGAAATAGTGTAAACATCTGCAAATATATATAATACATTATTTTTCATTTTATCACACATCCTATATACATACAACGCAAGCATATACCTGTCGCAAATATATTTTATGTGTTCCTTTTTACTTAGTTGTGCGTTCACGAGTCGAGACAGATTCTTTATACACGCAAAGTGCCCACGATTAACGTCTCCTGAATCCGAAACGTACAGCAAGTTGACGTGCTTCTCTCTTTTTTGCTGTGTGAGTCGTATTGGAAGGATGACAAGTTTGTTCTTCTTATTTCTCATCAATTCCATACTGTACACGTTTACAGAGATTTCGTTGAGCCGTTCAAATTTTGGTATTTGGTGTACACTTATTGGACACTCAATATCCTGAAGATTCAGTACTGTCGTATAGTGGGGATACAATGATGTGCGTTCTACATTTCTTGCAGCAGGATAAAGAGCGGCGACCACCGACCATGCAAAGCATGCATTGTNCTCGGATAGCACGTTAATCACCGCTCTCTTATACTTAACTTCTGGCGGCAAGTTTATATGACATCCTGCGCGCAATGGATTGTATTTGTTCACGTTTACAGTTAAATTCAGTATATGTGACAAGGCCCATCCGCTATCGCGTTCTTGGAATTCATCTAAGGACGCTAACGTGGGTTCTATAACGTATCGCTCGTACCACTCGTCTAAATTGGTAGTACAAAATAGTTCTGAATTTCTTGTTGTTATATTTTTATTGGCTCGTTTATCTCCCGATATAAATTCACCATTGAACACTGTATTGATTTTCAGACTATTGTGTTTCTCAATGGCATTTTGTACTTTTTCCAACACCGTGCTTTTCGCGTGTTCGAGAAAATGACGAGGTTCGATATGATTTTTGTTAATGATAACACCTGTCATTATTCTACTTTCAAAAGCGGTGTCTATTTCTCGCTATGTAAGCCTATGTCCGGCGCCAATGTATGCAAACTGTCGACGCAGTGAGTCTTTTACTCCTTCGAGTCGCGCAATTCTAGCGACCAGTGATTACCTGACTCCTACAGACAGTCGTGGACGTTTCTTCCGACTATGTTCTTCTAATAATTCGAGACATTCTTCACATCGCTGTTCCCATGCAACAAACTNTTCCCGCGAGTTCAAACGAGTCGACTGCTCCAATACATTGCGCTCTAATTGCGCGATAGTTTCCATTTTGTCACTTTTTAACACTTTGTCTTTGACAAGAAACACACTGAGTGATCACTCACTCTATGTTATGATGAAATACTAATTGTATGCGACGATGTCCCCTTTTTATAATATATTTTGTGCTGATGCTGCAATTTTGTTGATGCTGTCTTTGTTTAATAGAATGCAATGTTTGCAAAATATAACTTTGACTACGTGATAACAACGATGACATCTAATATCCGACAGAAGTGCTTTTTTGCAGAAGTTATGAGTCATCTATAGCGANTGCACAATTGTTATTTTCTAATACGCAGTTAGCAATTTTTTGCTATCATCAGCATTTTTTAATATAGGATTATGTTACTTCAATACGTGATCAAATCGATGAAATGTGATATTCGGCAAACAAAAGTGCATATTTTGCAGAATTTAGGAGTCATTTCACCAATCATTTTTTCTCTAATACGCAGGTAGCAATTTTTTGCTATCATCAGCATTTTGTAATATAGGATTATGTTATTTTAATACGTGATTAAATCGGTGAAATTTGATATCCGGCAAACAAAAGTGCATTTAATATAATATATAGAATGAGGCATAATTTTTGATGCTATCATCACTTTTCTAATCCAAAGTGGTGGGGCCGGGCAATATTTAAGAAATTTATTACGCGACACCGCATCAGTCAATTTTCGATCGCGGTTTCAAGAAGATACAATGTATACCGTAGCGATTAGCGGAAAATACAACGGTGAGACGAAAGTTGCACGCAACAAGTAAGTAAATTGTCGCTTTACTTGATTTTGACATATACTTTATTCACACATATTTTTACAGTGTGTCAACAGCGTCTCCGCCACATCAGGCGACTCGCATTTTGGGAAGACGGTACGCGTTAACATCAACAGCGTACAAATACATTGAGATTGGAATAAGTGTCGGTCCAATTTCGTATGTGGAAATCATTATTGGAGACAACCGTGGCAATTCATTGCTTATACCATTTGCCACATGGCAAACGATCATCCAGAAGCAGATGGATATTCATCAACTACTACAATCGACCGATGCGTCTGCAACTTTGTGGCTTCGCGATTTAGCGCTAAATGTCATTATTCGCGATGCACGAGTTGTAAAATTTACAGTAAACGATAAGTGTTTATACATAAAACCACCCACTGTTAAATTTTTGTTAACTTTAAATTCGTGTATTGAAAATATGTATTATTGGTTGGCAGAACATACTCATGTAATAAATACAAAGTTTGCACAGTTTGTTCGCGTTCTACGAGAACAAAATATCGCTGATGTAAGCAATGCTGCAACAGCTATATGTCAGAGTGGAGTGTATGATAGTAGCGCGATTAAAGACTGTGAATTAGTAGCGTGCGCTTTAAAAAATATTATGTGCGACGCATGTAAATAATATGTATGTATGAATAAAAACTTAAATAAAAAGTGAATATTACGTCTTTCTCGCTGAAAAACTGCAACTCCGCAACTTTACGCGCTCTCGCTAAAAACTGCAACTATGCAACTTTGCGCGCACTGCGTATAAGGTTACATACTGCGTGAAATAAGTATGTGCGAATAAATAACATATGTACAAAATACATAGTTGTTCTAAGCATGTTTTTTTTTTATATTTGTGGTATATAAAAAAATGTACATATGTACCAAAACGTAGATATATACATCTTGGAGACGCGGTATTGTCGTACAGCATTCAGAAGTATATACCATGCATATAGTAAATAGTACATACCTTGAAGTCGCCATATTGTCGCCGCTATATTTCAGCCGCCATACCGGTGCCCGCCGCGTCATGTCCTGTGACGCCATCTTGTCGAACGGCCATATTGCCACGTGTGAAGTCGTCATAACGGAGCCCACTGCGTATGAAGTCGCCATAATGTCGCGTGACGTCATTTCCCGAGTGACGTCATATCCTGTGACGTCAGAGCTACGCCCCCGCGTGACGTCATAGTGACGTCTTTTCCCGCGTGACGTCATATCCTGTGACGTCAGAGCCACCCCCCACGTGACGTCATAGTGACGTCATTTCCCGCGTGACGTCATATCCTGTGACGTCAGAGCCACGCCCCCGCGTGACGTCATAGTGACGTCACCCTCCCTCTGTGACGTCATACCCCCTTCCACTAGTGACGTCATACCCCTCTCGCGTGACGTCATAGTGACGTCACCCCTCCCCCTGTGACGTCATACCCCGCACCCCGCTTGGAGCTCCTGAGTTAGAACCGGCCTTATAACACTACTGCAAAAGCAACTCGTGGGCAATTGCAACGTGAGCAATCGCAACGTGGGCAATCGCAACGTGGAAATTTGCAACATGGGCAATCGCATCGTAGGCAAACGGGACGCTCCCCTGCAGACAGTAGCAAGTTTTGGACGCCCAGGGCCCCAAGTATCTCTGGCGCTATGGCGCCAAACGCAAAGTCGAAGAGCAAGCGCTCTTGAACATTGGGGAGCGAAGTGGAGGCCTCGTCCGGGGAGGAAGAGAGTCGCGCAATAATAAGAGTCGCGTTCCTTTGTAGCACTTTTTCGTCAAAGAGGCATCAGGATTTTTCGGTGATAGAGATTTCTTCTGAGGACTCGATTTTGAGCAAGACCCGAAGCCGGTTCAAGCGACCCAAAAACAAGAGCGCGGCGTAAAAGTCGAAAAAGGCAAGGACGGTGCGTGACACCAAGCCCAATTTCTCGCCTGTTTCCTCTGCCAAAGAGCCGGACAAACATATGTCGGCCACTAAACCCGACGACAAAGAAAAAGTTCAGCAAACACCCGTCGCCAAATCGGGAATCTAGGAGGAGCAGAAACGAGAGGTTCCTGTCGAGGAGATGCCTCCAACAGAGATATTGGCCCTTGTGCGGTCGGCGAAAGAAAAATTTGTCGGCCAAATCCTCAAATGCAAGAAAGTGAAGGGCGATTATATCCGCGATTAAGAACGCGGCGCTGGTAGGACAGCAGACTCCCTGGTGTCTTGCGTGGAGGAAGTAGACTATATCAACGTCCGGCTACGCGTGAGGCACGCTGAGGATAAGGCCGCTAAACGCGGCAACAAACTTTACCAATTGGAGATGGAGAATCGAATTCTCCGCCAGGAACTTAACGACTTCAGGGAGCAGTTTGAGAAGAAAATTGCTCCGCAACAGGCAGTGACGACAGAAAACTGAGTCGGGAAATGTCTGTCCAGACGGACGCCCTCGAGGCCCGGTCATTACTGCGGTAGAGGTCCTTTTTCCTGGGACTGTGATCCCGCCGGCGGTTCGCCCAAAAGTGGGCGGAGTGGCCAAAATTCTGGACAATGCTTGGGTTGTCCAGGGCGACAGCGGTTACAATAAGGAGAGCGTGCTCTAGAGTCGAGTGGTGGCCATTGAGCGACAGCTCGGAAATGTTCAAGAGCTACTTCACCAGCTTCTGAACACGGTCGCTTCCTCTGGTGGTTCAAGTGGTAGCGGCGGTTGCAGTCAGCCATCCCGGCCCCAAGTACCAAGGGGAGACCTTTCGGCGGGCGATCCACCTCCTGTCGGGTCCGGAGCCGATAGCATCAAGAAAGATGCTTGCAGGGAAAAGTCCTCTGGTGTGGGGGCCGCCCGTACTCTTGGGGATGCAAACTGGGCAACGGTTGCCCGCCGCGGTAAACGCGCTACTGCGCGCAACGCGGGACAGACTCCTCGATGCCCGGAAAAGACCCTAAAGATAGCGGGCAGGAGTCATCAACATCCGGCTCCTGCTGGTAAGAGAGGTCGCCGTCGCCGACACAGTCGAACAGCTGCGGCGTTGGCCATACGGTGCACTCCGGATGACACAGGTAAGACGTCCTCTTACGCCGACGTCATGTGCCTGGCACGGAAGAGAGTCTTGCTATCCGAGCTGGGTATTGCGGAGACCCGCGTTAGAAAAAACGTGGGAGGTAGGATCTTAGTGGAGATCACGATCCCCGATGGCGCTGCCAAAGCGGTGCGTCTGGCCGAGGCCTTATCCCTCGCGCTGCAGGGGAAGGCCGTCGTTAGTCGCCCAGTCCACAAAGGCGAGCTGCGTCTCACCGGGTTGGACAACTCGGTGTCCGCCGACGACCTGGTGGCGCGCTTAAGCTCCGCTGAGTTTGGCGGCTGCCAGGCGTCGGACATTGCGGTAGGCCCCGTGACCGAAGGTAGAGACCGCCTTGGCACAGTGTGGGTAAGGTGCCCACTAGACATGGCTGCAAAAGTAGCTAAGCTCGGCCGCCTTCGGGTGGGGTAGTCGAGCGTCAAGGTATTATTTCTGCCTGGCCGCCAGCTCCAGTGCTTTAAATGCCTGGAGTGTAGCCACGTCAGGCAGACGTGCAAAAACATGGTAGACAGGAGCAATCTCTGCTACCAATGCAGTAAGTTTGGCCATCAGTCCCGCTTGTGTCAGGGTCTGGCCAGGTGCGTTCTATGCGCAGATCACGATCTCCCGTCTGCGCACAGGTTGGGCGGTGAGGCGAGCCCGTTTCGCGTCACAAGGAGCGAAACGACCCCAAGAGAGGCTCCTCGACCGTGCGGAGGACGGTCGTCTAGGAGGCCATAGAAATAGATACCAATGACCCTGGTAATTCAGGTCAATGTTAACCACAGCGGGCCGGCGCAGAACTTGGTGCTACAGGTCATGCACAAGGTGAGAGCAAGCGTTCCAGTGCTCGCTGAGCCCTGGCGGGTCCCGGAGTCTCCCACGTGGGCGGGAGATGAAA